AAAAAAATCATCCTGAGTAAGGTGCATACATGAATATGATATGTATTCACTTACATGCGGATGTCAGCTGTTAAAGTCAACAATAACCAAGGCACGATTTGTAGAACTACAGAGGTTAGGTAGCAAAGTAAGGGACTAGGAGAGGGCACATAGCTCTCTCTGGGAAAGGGAAATAGAATAGGTATGAATGGAGGGAGGATCAAATGGAGAGAAGGCAGGGAATGCATGGAGAAACAGTTAAAATTAGCAGTCATTTGGCAGGTTGTATGGAAACCTAATACAGTAGAAGTTTCTTAAAATATATACATATATAAAGGAAATCTAAATGAAACTGTCGAATAACGGGGGAAAGAGTCCAAACTGGGCAACTCTTGTTACCAAATGAAGCTTCCAGTACCGGGGTTAGGTTACATCAAATGAAGTCGTTGCCCAAAGGGGTCTCATGGGAATTCCCAAACAACCCAGGCTATTGCTAAAACTATAGGCCGCTTTCCAACAACTGATGTCAAGGCCCCACTGCTGAAAATGAAATTTATACAACTCACTGAACATGAAGTCTAGCTGGCGCCCACATAGAGCCATCACCCCTGCCTACTGGCATCTTTCTTACAGAAAGGAACTCTGCTTGCTACCAAAAGAGAAACATAAATACCAAGCTGGCAAGATATACAGAGTTCAATAGTGGCAGAAAGCTTGCAGGATCAACCAATGTCTGATTTGACTTAAGACCCACTCCACAAGATGTAACCCATACCAGATACTACTTGAGTGACTAAGAACCTAAGACTAGATACCCCAGGGACCTAGGGGAAAATCAAATACTACTGTTCTGCTAAAGGAACATAACAATAAAATGACTCCTAATGACATTCTATTATACTCATAGATCAGTGCCTTGCTTAGCCATCATCAGGGAAGATTCAGATTCCTCCTACAACAGAAGGAAACAAATACAGTGACCCACAGCCAGACATACAGAGAGTGAGAGACCTTGAAATACTCAGCCCTAAATGGGATGTCTCCAAGAACTCACTCCCCTCAGGGCTCAGGGAACCTGAGGAAGAGGAGGCAGAAAGAGTGTAAGAGCCAGAGGGAATGAGGACACCAAGAAAACAAGGATCTCTGAATCAACATGATCAGCGCACACATGAACTCAGAGAAACTGAGGCAGCATGCACAGGGCCTGGACAGGTCTGCTCCAGATGGGGTACTAGAGCTGAAAAGAGAAATGAACACATGCCCCCCCCCATCCCTAACCCAGAAGCTATCTCCAATTGCAAACCACCTGCAAATGATAAATTAGTTTTGTCTAAGGCTGTGCCGCTGGGAAAAAGACTAAACCATCTGTAGTGACCCAAGCATGAAATCTCAATACTTAAGAAGTTGGGGCAGGCCAGGCACTGGGGGCACATGCCTTTAATCCCAGCACTCAGGAGGCAGAGGCAGGCGGATCTCTGCGAGTCCAGGACAGGCTCCAAAGCAATACAGAGAAAACCTGTCTCAAAAAAGAAACCAAAAAAAAAAAAAAAAGAAGTTGAGGTAGGCAGATCTGTATTTCAAGGGAAGCCTTAGCTACATAAATAAGATCTTGCCTACAATAACTAGAAAGAGCCACTTTTGTAGTCCCAGTACTCTGGAGGCCAAAGCAGTTGGATCTCTGTGAGTTCCAGACCAGACTGGTCTATACATCAAGTTCCAGACCAGGCAGGTATACATAGTGACACTCTGTCCAAAATGAAAGAGGGTTCTAAAGGAGACAGAGAGAGAGACAGACAGAGAGAGACAGAGAGAGAAAGGAGAGGGGGGGAGAGAAAGAGAGAAAGAGAGAGAAGAGAGAGAGAGAGGAGAGAAACAGAACACACCAACACAACAGTTGCTTAATTGATTAAACATAGGATTATCATATGATTTAGAAATTCTATTCTTACATTAGTATGAAACCATGGAGTTTGTGTACCTAAAAGAAACAAAAACTTAACTCCATGAAAAACTTACATATTAACAGTTGTAGCATTAGTGAAATCAACCCAAAAAAATTTTTGGGCTGTAGAGATGGCTCAGCACATAAAGTACCTGCCACATAAGCCTAGGGAACTGAGTTTAATCCCTAGAACTCACTTAAAGGTGGAAGGAAAGAACTGATTGCATAAAACTGTTCTCAGACCCACATACATGCAACAACAATAAACAAAAATCGTGTACATCATGCTAAGTGTGGTAATACATGCCTTTAATCCTAGCACATCCATGACCTCAAGGACAACATGGTCTACATAACAAATTCTAAGCCAGTCAAAGCTACTAGTAAGTCCATTTCAAAAAAATAAAAACAAAAAACTTTGTATATCCAAACCACTATTTGGGGACAATAAATAAAGTAATATTTACATGTACCATAATATGAGTAAACCATGAAAAAAAATCAATGAAACAGTCAAAAAAGGGATCATATACTGACAGGTGTGGTAGTGCATGCCTTATAATTCCAGGAGGTAGAAAGAAAAAAGAATCAGCTCAAAGATAGACTAGGCTACATGAGAGTTTTCAAGGCCAGTCAGCCTGGGTTATAGGAGACAATGTCTCCAGAAAACAAAAACATGAAAGAGACCATATATCACACAATCCCATTTATATTAAATACCCAGAATAGGCAAATATATTAAAAATACACATAAGTTAGTGGTTGCTCAGGGGTGGTCAGAAGGGAAAAGGTATAGAAAGAAGACAGCCAAAAAGTACCAGGTTTTTTTAGGCAAAATTGAATGTGGCAATGGTGGTACGTATCATTGAATATGTAAAATCCACTAATACATCCTTTTAAATGGATGGATTACATGGTACATAAATTGTCTCAAAAAGATGTTTAAGAAGCAAATGAACACAGGGTATTGGTGAATGACAGGATTAATACAAATAAGGACTCTATCCTAAAAGGTGCTGAGAAAATACTGGGTGCCTCAATTTCTACTATCTTAAATATTAATGAAATAAACCCCAATTTATACTAACTTTATGGACTGGGTATTTAGCTCAGTGGTATAATGCTTGCCAGGCTTGTGAAAAGCCCTGGTTTTGATCCCAGCCATGCAAAGTGATTTATAAATCTTTTTAGTAGAAATTATGTAGTACAGTGGTAGCTGTATAATGAACTATACAGTTTAAATATTATATAAAATCCCCTGATTTTAAGAATAATTTTTACACTTAAGGTGTTTCCCACCATTAATAGTGTTCTACTCATTATTAGTATGTATCTGTATAAATCAACATTTATTGTGTCCTTAGAGCCTACCAAGTCTTATTTCATAAGTACCTGACACAAAGAAAGCAATAAATAAATGAACAGCCTTGAAGGCTTTCCTTCATCAGTACTGGGACTTGGTTTCCTCATCTGCAAAATTAGAAGAGCTAAATATAATATTCTTTAAAACAGCATTGTTCAATGGAATTTTTACTTATCTATGTTGTCAATCGGTACCAACCACACCTGGCTAATACCTGAATTGTGGCTAATACAATTGAGAAATTATTTTTTATTTTAATAGCCACATCAAGCTCGTGGTTTTTGTTCTAGAGCATAATGCAGAAAAAAATACATTTTATAGTCTATCCCAGCAATCACATACATGTGGGAATATGTGTATACATACAAAAACAAAAGTTCTCGAAATAATTCCTACATTAATATACAAAAAGCACTAGTTTCTTTTCTATATTACTTAATTTCATCTAAAAAACCTGCTGATCTAACTACTAATATTTCATAACACAATAGACTCCTTTCTGCTCTAAAATATTACGCTGTATACTAATAACAAATGTTTGGGATGATAATTATATTAATTAGTCTAATATGGTCAGTTATATACATGCATCAAATAACACTACATTCCATAAATATACATGATTATTTATAAATTTAAAATATTTTCAATTTTAAAAATTGTTCAATCCTTGTCACCTTATGCCTGTCATCTCAACACTCAGTAGGCTGAAGCAGTAGGATCACAAGCTCAAGGCCAAATTGAACTACAAAGCAAGGCCTTATCTTTAACACAAAACATACAGCCGGGTGTTGGTGGTGCACGCCTTTAATCCCAGCACTCGGGAGGCAGAGGCAGGAGGATCTCTGTGAGTTCGAGGCCAGCCTGGTCTACAGAGCCGAGTTCCAGGACAGCCTACAAAACAATACAGAGGAAACCCTGTCTCGAAAAAACAAAAAAGAAAGAAAGAAATTGCTTTCCAAACAAAATGACAGTTAAGGTTACACTAATGAACATATGGTGGCAATTAAAATGTTGTCAGTATATAAGAAATAAAAATATAAACTGAAGTACAAATACTACAGACTAATTTTTTAAAAACACCTATTTCTAGAATGAGATAATGGAAGCCAATATTCCGAAGTACCATAACCACTGCCACACTCCTAAGGCTTTCTGACGTTACCTATGCACAAAGAACATAACTGAACAGTCATAGCAAAAGATGACCAAGCTCATATCTTAGAGCGGTGTACATTTTGGTGAAAAAGATAATTATGTGGGTTTTTTTCCCCTATCAGGGAGCACGCCTGTCAGCGAGGCAGTTAGTGTACCAATTCAATTTGCTACTTGTTTATAGGTGGCGTGCTGTCTTCTTGAAGTGCACTCGAAATTCTTACTTCCAATTTAGTAAATCTGAACCACAGGCACTTTAGCAAACTTTTCAAAGTAGCCCTGTCTTTCTCACACTTAAAAACCGAGCCGCAAATCCCTACAAGACACTGGCACTTCAGGTGCCCTGTGCCTGAAACCTCCCGGCTCTCTGCTGTCCCCAAATTTTTCTTCCTCTTTTCCTCGAATTACTAACCCTAGCTTCCTCCACTCGCTACTACTCTGCATTCGCCCTGACATCCTTTCTTCTAGGTGCTCTCTCTGACCTACGGTCACGAGGGCAACCGTCTCCCTATTAGGTTCCCTTGCCCTTCACCCTACTCTTCCAAGCGCGTGGCAACACACCTGGTATATCCGAGAGCTTCCTGACGCGCCGCGCTGCTGCGACCTCCCCCGCGAGCCTGAGCCGCAGATGGAGACTAGAGGCCTGGTCAGAACTGCCGAATGTTTGTGCTTTTCGAAAGCAGCCGCCGCGGCTGCCCAGCGCCAAGAATGTATTACGAGCAGCGCCATCTTGAGCGAGGAAAGAGGAACCGAGAGCGGAGGATTGTGGGACACTGGCGGACTGAGCTGGGTGGCTTTCATTGCCTCTCCCCTCCCCCACTCGTGTCTGACACCGGAAACAGCTTGTGTCTGAAGATGCCTATGTTTAGGATATAACTTTTTTTTTTCTTTTTCCCCTGGTACTGGTCTTTATTGGGGTTTTTTTGTTTTGTTTTGTTTTGTTTTGTTTTTAACACAGCCCAGAACATTGGAATACCACTGTGTTTCTTAGCATTGCCAGATAAAATACAGGATTGCCCATTTAAATGTAATTTCAGATAAATGACAAATTATTTATTGGTATAATTATGTCCCAAGTATTGTTTAGGTAAATGTGACAACTCTATCTTGTCTGTCACTCTATTCATTTCTTGTCTTCAACTCAACATCACACTCCATTCCCTACATACATCTCATTTTCCGTGTGCATTGACTGATGTTTAGGGTAAAGTACAAGACATACGTTTCCTCCTGGATGACGCTCCATCAGGGAGAGTCACCACCTTTTTTTGTAAATGCTTTTATTTTTCTGATATGCCTTTGGTCTTTTATTGTTGGAATAATTGAGCACTCAGAGTACACACCTTTTTTTTAAAAATCCAATTAATTTGCCTCCTTGTAGCTCTTCCCTTTGGTTTCTTCAGAGTTCCTAATTGAAAAACTGATAGATAGTAAGCGAACGTGTTATATAGTAAAGTGCATATTTAAAGACACATTTGTATTATATTGTCAGGACTATAATCAAACCAAATACCATGGAAATGTGTTTACAGGTTTCTGGGAAACAATCTCCAAATATAAATGTTACTTGAGTACCTGGAGTCAAGAAGGCAGTCACAACTTCATTAATGCATTCTCAACTCTTTCTCTCTCTCTGAGACAAGGTCTCATTATGAAGCCCTGGATATACTGGAACTTGATATGTCAACCAGGCTGGTCTTGATTCCAATGTCTGCCTGTCATTGCCTCTGGGGTGCTGGAATTTAAGGCATGCACAACCACACCGAGCACTTTTTCAAACCTTTTCCACAAGGCAGGCAAGTAATTATGAATTAATCCTGCAGGAGCATTATAAACTAATGAGATATGTCATGAAGAAAGACAAAAGATATGTATGGTTCATGAAGGAAGCTTGCTTTACTTTGTTCTGAGACCCATATCACAAACCAGGTTTCTGGGGAAGAAAATAATTAGAATTTCAGATTGAAGAGGTTGGCCCCATGTAAAAAAGATGGCAATATTATAAACAAGAAAGCATGAGAAAACTGTCAGGCTCAGGAGTCCAGAAACTGTGTGTGATGGCAAGAGGTCTTCCATTTCATTTTAAGAAATTAATGCTGTATACTTCAGCTATTGAATGGCTTAATCGGGAGGGTAAAAAAATCATACTTGTATATCCATTAAACTACTCTGGCTTAAGTGGAAATGCTGGATTAGAAAAAGGTTTAGATTGAAGTCACAACCACTTCCTCTCTCCATGCTGGGTTTTGTCTGACTTATCTGGCCCAGGACTTGTGTATGCTGTCCCATCCACTGTGTTATTATATGTGCAACTGCCCTGTTGTGTCCAGAAGACTTTTTCATTGTAGTCATCCATCACCTTTGACTCTTACGTTCTTTCCTCTTTCACACTGAACCCTGAGGCCATGGAGGAAGGCATGTGATACAGATTATTCCATCCCATCCCTACAGGATTGGTTACTCCATGCTCTCCCTCTCCCTCTCCCTCCCCCCTCTCTGTCTCATGCTCTCTCTCCTTTTCCTCATCTCTCTCCATCCTCTCTCCCCCCTTTCTCTCCTCTCTTTCCCCTCCCTCCTCTCTCAACTCTCCCCTCTCTTCTCTCTCCTCTCTGTCACACCTTTCTCCTCTCTGGCTCCTCTCTCCATGCTCTCTCCTCTCTTGCCCCTCTGTTCTCTCTCTCCTCACTTATCCCCCTCTCTCTCCTTCCTTTCTTCTCTCCCCTCTCTCCCCCCATCTCCCCTTTCCCCTCTTTCTCCTCTTTTCCCTCTTTCTCCCCTCTTTCCTCCCTTTCCCCTCTCTCCCCTCTTTTTCCTCCCTCTCTTCTCTTCCCTCTCTCTCCCTCTCTCCCCTTTCTCCCCCTCTCTCTTCTCTCTCTCTCCTCTCTCTCTTCTCCTTCTCCATTCTTTCTCTCCCCTCTCTCCTCCCTCTCTTCTTTCTCCTCTCTCTTCCCCCCATCGGGTGCCTGGGGGAGCCTTAAAAGGGTCCTGGAGCTGAAGTTACAAGTACTCCTGACATGGGTGCTGGGAATCAAACCTGGGTCCTCTGAGCAGTAAACATTCTTAACCATCTCTCCAGCCCCAGTTTTGAGGTCTTTAAATGGAGTGAGTGCATTTTACAATCATGTTCATTTTAAGCAAGGTTCTGTGAATTTAAAAAAATGTAAGTAACCTTGGAATATTCAAGTAGTTACTCTCTAATGAGCTAAAGAGTTGCAAACATTTATTTACCAAATAAACCAAACATAATTTCCATAGTACTTGGGAGTAGAACATACAATAAGAGTTGTACATTAATGGAGAAAGAACAATGAAACAAACAGGCCAACTTGGTGTGCAGTATCTTGACACATTTATCTTAAACAAACTGAAGCAGATACAATAAAAAACTACTATAAATAGGTGCTGCAGGCACAGATCACATGACTTTATGCAATAATTACACCTAATTGTGGATAGCATTTTGCAACTTATAAAGTGCCTTTTTCATACCTTATTTAATTTTCACATCAACCCTGGATGATGGGTCTTATTTATTAACAGTTTTAGCCCATATTTATGAGGAAACAGGTTGTGACTTGACAGAGGTTGCAGAGTTAATGGGAATGGAGACTGCACCAAGATTTAATGAGTCCCAAGTAAGGTTCTCTTTTCACTTATTAGTCCTAAATTTAAAGAAAACACTATGTATTTTGAGAAGACTACCATGATCTTTTTGTTTCTTGAAAATGCCAGAAGTTATTCTCACTTTAGGGCTTTTGTACTTGCTTTCCTCTCCACCTGGAACATCTCTCCTGCAGATTTGTTAATGATTTTTTCTTGCCCTTCAGGTCTCAGCTCAAATGTCATCTGCTTAAAAAAGCTTCCTAAGAGTACCTTATCTACCCCCCACCATCACTGCCTCTCCACATTGCCTTGTTTCCATTAAAATCTTCCTATTCAAGTTGGGCTTGGTGGCACAGGCCTGCAATCCCACTAAGCTACTGTGGGAAGATTGAAAGTTTAAGGCCTGCTGGGAAATTCTTTATAATATTGTATTAATTCTATGAGAATATCATGCAATGTATTGTGTTCATATTCATCCCTCACTCTTTCCAGGTTCACTCCCACTTTTGTACCTGTGCAACTTCATGTTCTTATTGTTTTTAATTGAAAATAGATTCTTCTCTCACACAATTCATGTCAACCACACTTTCACCTCCCTCCACTCCTCCCGGCTTCCCATCACCTACCGTGTTTCCCAGATCCACTCCCTAACCGTTTCCCTACTGAAAGGAGGAGGCCTCCAAGAGACAACAATCAAATACAAGTAAGATACAATAAAAACAAGACAAAAACCTTCATATTGAATGTGGCCAAGGCAACCCAATAGGATGAGGAGGCCCAAGAGTAGGCAAAAGAGTCAGAAACATATCCACTTCTACCGTTAGGAATCACACAAAAACACCAAACTTACATCCATAACATATACACAGAGAAACTGGGACAGGCCCCATGCTTGCTGCTTCAGTCTCTGTGAGACCATATGAGGCCTGCTTAGTTGATTCAGTGAGCCATATTTTTCCAGTGTCCTCCATTCCCTCTGACTCCTACAATCTTTCTTTTCCCTCTTGCACTGGGTTTCCCAAGTTACAAGGGCAGGGACCACATGGAAACCTCCAATTTAGCCTCTCTCTTTCCACGTAATGTTTGCTTGTGAGTCTCTGCACCCACTCCCATATGCTGATGATGAGTATAACTAAAAAGAATTTCAAGTCATTTCATTGATTTTTTTTTGCCAGTCATGTTTGGATCTATCTACCCTGAGGCTCTAGGCTATTCAGTGTCCTGTTCTTAGCCATCCAGAAGGCATAGGACACGAGCTCCCTCTCATGGCATGGGCCTTAAGTTAAACCAGACATTGGTTGACCACTCACATGTTCTGTGGCACCATTGCCCCCAACACATCTTATAGACAGGACAGACTGTAGGTGGAGGGCTTTGTGGTTGGGTTGGTGTCCAGGTTTCTCTTTCCATAGCCTACAGAGTACCTTCTCACACCAAAAAGATTAGGATGAGCCGGGCGTTGGTGGCGCATGCCTTTAATGCCAGCACTCGGGAGGCAGAGGCAGGCGGATCTCTGTGAGTTCAAGGCCAGCCTGGTCTACAGAGCAAGTTCCAGGACAGCCCCCAAAACAATACATAGAAACTCTGTCTCGAAAAAAAAGACTAGGATGTAGGGGTGAAGGTTCCATGTAGGCACCAGCTTGATCTCTCTACCTTCAATGAGATTTGTTGGTGCTGTCCTCCACAATGGGGTTTTGCTGTCAGATTTAGAGAGTGACTATCTGTCCTAGAATCAGTCTGGGTTTGGAAATCTCCACAGGACCCCCACAGCCATGAACTCAGCCAAATGCAAACCTGACCCACCACTGGAAGTCTTGCCTGGTTACAAAAGATGGCTAGTGCAGACTCCGTATTTTTCATTACTTGGAGTTTTCACTACAGTCACCCTCATAGATTCCAGGAAATTTACATTGCACTACATTTCCACAGTGCTACCCAATGCCCCCAATTCCATCTGTCATACCCACACTCTCTAACTCCATCTCTTCCCAACCACACACCTTATCCCTCCCTCTTCCATCCCCGCCCACCCGCCAGTTAACCCACAATATATATTCTATTTCTGTTTCCCAGGGAGATCCATGTGCCTCCCTAGAGCCCTCCTCTTTACCTAACTGTTGTGAAATATTCTTTTACACTGTGTACAGATATATTGCTG